TGCGTCTCAGAAGTTTTAAAGGTGCAAACAAAGATCTTCCTGTCCTCATAAGACAGGAGGTTCAGGAAGGACAGACCCATTGGGTGGCAGTCTGCTGCGGGCCAACATGCAGCCCATACAAATGGAGGCTGGAAGGGCCATTGGGAGATGAGAACTGCTTTCTCCCACCTCTGCCACACTCATTACTCTTCCCTTCCTCCTTAGATAAGTCTATTAGGCTGGGATGGGGCACGGCTGACTTGATGCTACCTGAGAGTGATGTCTCATCGAGGACTCCCTTCTGGGCCTTTTGGACCTTGCAGGTGGCACCAAGCATTCAGAATAGGCCCAGTCATCGTGTCGGTGTACAAGGCTGGCTTTGCTAAACCACAGAGCAGCGATGGCTGAGCAGGGGTGCTGAACCATCCAGCATAGGCATGTCGGGGTGGTCTAAGAGCACTGGGAGCAATGCCCACTATGTTGCTCATGCCTACTCCTCTGTGCTGCGCCCTGCATCCTCTGCCAACAGCTGCCTGAGCACAGGGAAGCTGGTACCCACCATACATGCTCCTTTAGGACTAAGTCATTGCAGTCAGGCACCTTCCCAGTACACCAGGGAGCATGTCTCAGTGACCGTCCTCCTGGGCTCTAGTGCCTGTGTCCATGAGCATTCGCTGCAGGGCCCAGCAGGAAAGCAGAATATCCTCTGGCACCTGCCTTGTGCAGCCTGCCTTTCAGTCACCCTGCAGCTTGAAGACACCGCCTGCTTTTTCACTTCTGTGACCAGTCGTGGTTTCCCAACAGCAAGGCTCCTAAGATAGGTGTCCAGCTCCCCTTGATTTTCAGAGCACGACGTTCCCTTCAGTACTATTGAATGCCCCAGCTGTAACCTCAGAGAGAAAATGCAGGGAGGAATGGAGATGACTTTGTACAAGGTGTTTAGCATAAGACAATGCGCCTACAATTTATACCGGCATTGAAACACACTGCCTTTGTATGTCTTCTCATTAACAATGATTAATTCTAGATATGGTTCCAGTCTTTTTTGCATGCAATTATATGTGTCAGAGGAAAATTGTTTTCTGTAGTAGGATGAAAACATGTATCCCGGGAGTACAGCAATAGCCAGAGGATGGTAGAATATGAGTAGACCTATGGGGTGTGGAAGTGAAACCAGAGCTTCATGAGATGGAGCAATAGAGGGGGGTAACATTCAGTACTTTCAAAACACATGGATCTCATAGGGGAATGTGGATCCACAAGATCTGTAGACATGAGCAGACCATAAGGAGATTTTGATCCAGGCCCAGCCACATTTTGAACCAAATGCCAAAAAGGTGCTGAGTTCATTCAGAGACTCACAGAAACTCAGGGCAGGGAGGGACCTTGAGAGGTCATCTAGTCCAACCCCGCTCACTAAGACAGGGTCCGTACCCCTAGATCCTCCCTGATAGATGTTTCTCTGACCCATCTGGATAATGTCCAGTGAAGGAGAATCCATACCTTCCCTGGCACCCCAATTCCAGGGCTGTGCTATTCTGTCCCTAATATCTGACCTACACCTTCTTCGCTGCAAATTAAAGCTGATTTCTCCAAGACCTGGTGAGCAATAGTTCAGCATCACCCTGAGATCCAGGCTGGGAGGGATTCTTTGTATTCCTGAGTTTATCAGCCAGGCTTACCTGCCTCAGTTGCCCTACACTTTTTCCAAGCCAGTTGACAGGGGTCCCCACCGGGGGAGATGGGGGACCGGGAAGGCCAAGGTTGGGTTGTCCTCTGAAGAGAGAGGGGGAAAAATAATGCAGCCAAGGCTGGCATTATCCTTCCTGCAGTGTCCAACTTCACGGGGGCGGAGTGGCAGGGGAGGGCACCATCAAGGAGATTGAGGAACAAAGGGGTTACAGACAGCCCTGTTCCCCTCGCGCAGCAGAGCAGAAGTGGCAGGCGTGCTGCCTCCTCAGCAGCGGCGCAGGCAGTCTGAGCTCGTTGGAAAGAAAACTTGAAATGACTGCCATCCACCCCCTCCAAAAGGACATCTGAGCGGCAGGGGCGGCCCGCAAGCTCCAGGCAGCACCGAAGGTTACCCGGGCTGGTTCTGCAGTGGGCGGAAGAGCAAGCAAACTGTGTCGTCCCTGCTGTTTTTCTGATGTGAACTACAGTCAATTGAGGACCAAGATGAGAATACTAAATGTTTTGCTGCAAGCGAGGCTGAAAAACAGGTCTCTGGAGGTGAGCTGAGGACATTTATCCACTTATCCTCTCTCATTTGGGTCTGCATTGTGCTACGATTGCTGGATCTCAGTTGAGGTGGCAGGCAAGAGTTATCTCCAGGTGCCTAGGAGTGCATGGTAATTGCCAATCTTTCCCCCTTCTGCCAGATGCCAAGGAGGAAAGTGCACACTGGGGGGTTACAGTCCTCTGGAGAATCATTATGGGAAACATTCAGGTCACAAGAGGACTGGTGGAACATGTGCTGCGCAGAGAGACCCGGGGAGAGAGCAGCATCCTCGAAACATCTGGCTCGTGCATCGTGTCCCAAATGGCATCTTTCCAGGAAAGCTCCAAATCTCTCCCTCCCCATCACATCCGCACTTCTCTAGGCAGCACACTGAGTGCCTGGCTCAGATGGTTCCCAGCTTGCCCCGCCTGCATCATATGTGTACAAGGCTTCCAGCCAACAGGAACATGGGCTGCGGGACTTTGGACCAGCGGTGCCAAGAAACACAAGTCTCCACTCCTCGCCCTGGGATTTAAGGAGAGCTCTTTCACCACGCAGAGTACTAGTCGTTGATGGCCTCTTTGTGCCTACACATGCACTTGCAGGAGGACAACGTGACCCCAAACCCCTGAGCAGGTCTCCTCTCTTCCAACAGACACACATACGCACATACCCCGTCTCTCTCCTGAATCTCCTGCTGGCCACTGCCAGCCCCACGGGGTCCAAAGCCATGAATCAGGCCTCCAAAATCAGACAATTAAAACCATGAGATGACTTTAAAAAAAATAATTAGGGGTTCTTTGCCTTCAGGTTCCTGAGCCCCATTGACACATGGGCCAGAAATTTACTGCATTTTACTCATTTTTTATTTTTAATAAAAGCCAAGAGTCTCACTTCTTCAAATGCCCCCTAGAGTCAGGGCTTTAACACCAGGTATTACAAGATGTGCAATGCTGGCATGACTGTTGGCAACAATAGACTGAACGTGGGCCCAACAAGTGATGTCTATATAACGTGATTCTGCCTGATGAGGAGATATCACACACATCCTTAATCAAGCAAACAAGATCCTCAAAGACACACACACTCCAACAGGCAGCATCCTGATCATTTTGGGGTTCGTTATCAGGGCTGTCTGGTAGTCAGTTAACAGCCATTGCAAAAGGTTCGGTCCCTTCTCAAAAAAAATAAAAAAAATCCTCCGGCATATCATAGAAAGTGGTTTCTAGCCTGTCGACTTGAATGGACTAGAGAATGATATCCCTCCTACACAATTAGCAGCATGCTTGCAAAAACCTATAGAAATTGATCATCCCCGCTTCAATTATATAAGTGAAAAATCCACTAGACTCAGAGGTAAAGCCCAAATTGACTTCAGTGAGGCCAGGCTTCCACCCTACATGCTTTCTATAGCACCCTCTTGCTTTGATCCCAATTTGGTTTTCCTGAAAAAAAAATAAAAATACTGGAGCTAAGCAAAAGCATGATGAAGATAAATGACATGGGAGATGCCTCTCTTCCTTATCACCCATCGTGTAACTTTCCCTCCACTTGTGTTGCCTTTCAGCGAGGCCACATCGCCCATTCATAAATCTTCTCTAGAAAGGATGGGCTGAGTTGCTCTTTCTATCCAATTTCACGCACAGTTAATTTGGGAGATAATTCATGATTTTGACTCCTCGGCTGCCACCACTGAGTGGACACCGGCACCATGCTTATTTATATGTTGATTTCTTTGTGGCGTACACTGCTACTAATATCTTCAGCAAAGTGCAGGAGGCGACCCAAAATCTCGAGAAGGTTGTATTATAAACATTCAAATTAAGGCACCAAATGTCCTAGGGTGACTGTCCAGTGGGATTCAGATCATCTGAGGACAGCTACCGTGGTCCTTTCAGTAGAGAAGGGCCCCAGGATAGGAAGCAGAACAAAAAAATAATCTCTCTGGAGAGGTATCCTGACCCTCATTTTTTCCTGCTAGAGACTTTGATCAGGTGGTTCCCATACAAAGGAGATAAATGCATGTAAAACCCTGTTTGTTACCGCCCTATTCAATTCTATATTATTTTGCATAAGAGGATGAGTTTTGCTCCCTGGGGACAAGGGATCTTGGACTTAAATCCTGGGCTAGCTTGTCCCTAAGGCTTGGGATCCAGCTGTATTGTTTGGGGGATTCAGATGGGCTTAAGGCAGAAAGTACAGGGTGGGTATCTCTGACCCGGGACTGATTAAGGGCATCAGGATTTGGCTCATTGTTGTTGTTAGTTAATTAAGACTCACCACCCCACCAGGTAGGTAGGCAAGTGCTCTTGTTATACAGATAGAGAAACAGAGGCCTGCAGAAGTGGCCGTGACCTGCTTCAGGTCTCCTGGCAAGTAGGGCTGAGCTGGGCACGGTACCCACGAGTCCCAGCCCGACTGTACGCCTCATCGTTTTACTGATGAGAGCGAACCATGTGCAGAGGCTGCCGGATTCAGAGCTATTGCGATTCTTTCAGCCTCTGTGATGATGAATGTTAGCGATGTAGCAAGGTATTAACTGGGGGACTCTAATGATTTAAAGAGAGGAATACATCACCGCTTATAAGCACACCGCACCGCATCTGTTTACTAACACTAACATTAGAGAGAGGGTCCCTTAGGAAAAATAAACAGCAAAGATTTAATTTCTTCTGGAAGATTAGAACGGCTATTGACCAGCCTAGCAGAAGCAGCGACACTGGCAACACTCATTTCCCATCTTTACAAATTAATTAGTGCGCATCG